TTGAGATAATCTTTTAAAGCTTACTCAGTAATAATGTTTAATTAATATGCCAAGGAATGCAATTTAAATTTCAGATACTAGTATATCACTCGTTTTTTGGAAGCGTAAAAACTAATTTTAAAATTTTTATTTCCTATTTATTTTTATATACACCGGGATAACAGATTAGACAGTACCGTTTCTCTCTTGAAATTTTGAATTTTTTGATTATGATCAGGGCCGAAAAGTTTGAGCTTTTGCTTGAAATTGCTTATTTTGCTTATTCAGGGTTTCCAAGCTTAATTTTAATGATCATGCTTATTTTGCTTATTTTAACGTATAAAGCTAAGTAACAGACCTTTTAAGTAAATGGTCAAGAGATAAATTGACATTATTTCGTGTGTGTGAATAGCAGTGTCCCAGGAGTTTGGACATCTGATATTTTACAGCCTGCTGTCTCACTTTTTCCTTACGAAATAATAGAAGGGGCATATATTTCTGTTGAAAACAAGGATGGCTTGTACGCTTCACAAACAAACTTTAGCAAACCATAGTAGAAAGCGTAGAAAATTTCTGAAGAAGTTCGTACTGCTTAAGAAAATTTGGCTCAATACATTTTTCTTTACCATTTTTGGATTTTTTTTTTATTCGTCGAACTAAAGAAATGTTTACAAATAATGACATAAAAATAGATGTAATTTTTATTAACCCGTAACTTCAACTGCATTTCTGCTTGGATACAAAAATTTAAGACCAATGGTTCGTCCCTACGGGAAGGCATTGGTGTTGTTAAGAGATTTACATAATTTATCTCAAATGGAGAATAACGGATATTTAAAAAAATTAAACGACCAACGCAGATCTCCATTATTTGCTTATCAGGCAACACTTTTATGTGCATAGGAATTGTTAAATCCTTTAAATAAACTGAATAAAAAACAAAACATTAAGCTTTACTTTTTTTTGTTTTTTTATTTTTTTTTTGTAACCATATTTACCAATGTTTTAGTGCTTATCTAAGCGCTTAAAATGGATTTTTTCGTGCCTAATTTCTTCGACCCTGATTATGATATGTATTCTTCCAGCAAACAAGTGGTATATTAACTATATTTAAGCAAAAGTAAAACAATTGTCGCTGTTGTATAATATTTAGTGCTTTTGTACATTTGCAGAAGGAATTTCTACCGACAGTGTGAAGCTGCCAGATTCATGTCCATATCCAATTTGGAATACGAGTATGAATAAATTTTATTACTTCTTGAAACTGAATTTGTATAAATTTTTCTTGTATATTTTTTACAGTTCCTGATTTGATGATAAAAGAGGAGATTACAACAGCAAGCCCTTGCGATGCTACATTGATAGGTTGTCAGAAGCAGTATGCTTTACATTAATGAATATGATAAAATTGTGCACAAAAACATATCTACATAGGTACATATTATACATACAAATGTATATGTATGTATGTATTCAATAAAAAAAAAAATTAATGTAATTGTAAATTGTATTATATAAATATGTATTACATATAACGCCTCACGAAAAAATTTAAGCAAGCGAAAATCAAGTAATTGAGGAAACTATATACATATCGTCGTTTAAAGTACAAAATATCTAAACGTAATAAGCAGTGCAAGAAAATGTGACACCCTTTTGCTCAAATTAGAAATCAATATCTATATTACACTGTGTTATAAAATAAAAAAAACTTGCTCGAACTTTTTAAGTGGCGTAGTACAGGTCGAGTAATTCACGAAACTGCTTTCAAATACCCTCGAATTCTTAACTTATTCTTAAAAAACCATTTACGAATGACTTCCGGCACTAAACAATTTTTAAATCGGTAATTTTTTAACCAATTTTAATTTTTTATAAGGCCTTAACAAGAATATTTGTGCTTGTTAAAGAAATAACCACTTTTGTGAGCGTATTGTAAATATGTGGAAAAAATTTGAAATAAATCGGAAATTTACACCAATTTTTATTATTTTTCCCAATTTCACAACATTTCTTGCCAAAATTTCAAAGGTAGGGCTTGTTCGAGTTGCCATCACAGTGTTGCAGTGTTCCGCGAATTATTAAAGTAACACTTTCGGTGTTAAAATCAAAAAAAAAAAAAAATTATGAACTTACGACATTTTTTATAAAGACACAAATTAAAATTTTTCCTGATTTCAACTAAATGAACTATTGAAACCTCAAAGTGAATCCAATTCAACTCATTCACATTTTTTCTTAAATATCATAGACGAAATTTTGGAAAAATCTTTAAAAAATTCATAACTTTCAAAATTGTCTAGTGATTTGTATAAATGGTGCGTAGAGTTTTACGCGGAATTGAACATTCTTTTCGAAGTAATGTCTGAAGGAGGCTATTTTCTTTGAAATTTTAGAAAAAAAAAAAATGTTGGCGTATTGGGAAAAATAATAAAAATGTATGTTAAGTTCAGACTTATTCCAAAAATTTTCCACACATATACAATGTGCTCACAAAACTTATTATTTCTTTAAATAGTACAAATATTCAGCTTTCCAAAGCCATATAAAAATTTAAAATTGGGTAAAAAATACCAGCTAAAAATTGTTTTTTTTTTTTTGTAAAAATGTTTTTTTTTTTTAAGAATAAGTCGAGAATTTGAGGGTGTTACAAAAATTTTAAACGCAGAATCATAAATTACTCGACCACTAGGTCACTTAAAAATTTCACGATCAATGTAACACCGTGTTATATATTTTTTATATAGTATAAGAATTTAGCTGTTTTCTTTGTAACTAATTGCCTCAAAACCAAATTTGGAAAGTATATTCCTTAGGACCGTGGCAAAGTCATAAGCTATATCTTAGTCCGCTAGGAGGCGCAAGAGTCGAGATATTCTGTATTTGATCCGATTTTGAAGAATTAGAACGAATAATGTGGGTGTGACCTTACGAAAAATGGATCCACTACTAGGTGCCGCTAGAGTCGAATTATACCAAAAATTTGTATTTATGATACAATTTTGATGATATTAGAGAGGTAGCTGCTGGTGCGATAAGAAATACTTTTATGAAAAAAATGAATCCACTAGGTGGCGCTACAATTGAGTTACTCAGAGAAACCCCTTCGAAAGTATGGAACGCTACCAGACTTAGGTTGTAAAGCTGTAAAAAAATCGAATTGAAGCAGAAATTATAACTGGCAGGCGAAATGGTTTGGATACCTTGAATACCAATTATTTCCATTATATTTCTATTCCTTTTTAAGAGGTTTCAATTTCCAGTAAGCATTTGCTTGGCAATGACAATTAACAAGTCGAAGGAGGTGATTTGAGGACCAGCTATTTTTCATACGGTCAACTATATGTCGCTTGCTCTCGCGTTAATAACCCTGATAATTTGTACCTAGGTGAATTCATATAAGGTGGTAGCGGCAGCACAAACTACACTAACAAATTAGGTATACGCATGATGACAATCAAAACACAACAAATGTACAACAAACACATAATTTTCACAATTAAGTAACTGCGCCGGTAACACCACTTTATATGACTTCGCCTTGATTTCTACATACATATTTTCTCCAGACGGAGATATTATTTATGAAGCTGTTTTGTAAATATAAACTTCAATTTCCGATGAGAACTTTTTATTTAAAATGGCAAAAATTATTACAAAACTTTCCAAGGTAAGAGTAAAATTCGTTCGTAATTCGTTCCTATAAAATGGACCCATAGCATAGCCGAGATAAAGTTAACTTTTAAGCTGCAGCTATTTTCGAGGGGCATCCCATTGAAAAATATGTCTAAACACTTCTAATAAATTTGGAGCCCATTTCATCTTAACTCTGACTGCGGGACATTTGTTTTTAAATTCATCAAAGCTGTCCTTTTAGCTTTACAAATCTTCAAGTATGTATTCGAGCTATTGATATTCGATTAATCGAATATTCGAATATGATGCTATTCGAATACTAAAATTCCATTAGCTGTACACCATCGATTACACAGGGCCACATTGATATTAGTGCGGCAAATGTTAAAGCTGTTTTTGATAGACTTCTGTGCTGGTTACGAATTCGTAAGTATAAAGTTTCCATAAGCTCGAGATTTTTAGAAAAACGAGGTCAAAGTGTTAAACAACCGCGTTTTTTGCAATATTTGAGAAGCTCTAGAATGGTGATAGGTGAGAAGAAAGAAAAGGTGATAGAACTCTCCGCTTAGGCTCAAATTAAATCAAGAACTCTTCGCTTAGGCTCAAATTAAATCAAGAACTCTCTACTACTGTTCCTGAAAGCACCATCCCTACACCTTGACCTGATGGTCACTTATAGTCCTTTATTGAACAATAAAAAAAAAATACTGGAAAACTGCTATTGAAAAAAATGACTACAAGTGAACTTAAGGTCAAGGTGCAGAGATGGTATTTCTAGGGATTGAAATCGAAAGCTCAAGTCTTAGTTTAAGCCTAAGTGGAAGATTCTAATATCTTATTAACCGACTTCCAAAAAAGGAGGAGGTTATCAGTTCGTCGGATTTCGTTTTCAGCCGATTTCGATATTTCTTTTTGCATCGGAAAGGCAGTGTCTCAGAGGTGGTCCCATACTAATCTGGTTAAGATCCGATCAGTGGATCATGAGATATGTATATATATATAGATATTTTTTTTATGACAGTTGAAGTCGGTTTTTTTTGCTAAAAATTACTTGTGGTTAATTGCGTTAAGTACTCAAATTTCGCCAAAATCAGTTTTTGCTATTCAACAAGTGACTATAAGTGACCATCAAAACAAGGTGCACAAATGGTGTTGTCAGGGATAGTAGCCGAGAGTTCTAGCTTTAATTTAAGCCTAAGTGGAAGGTCCTATCACCTAGAGCTTCTCAAATATTGCGCAAACGCAATTTTTTGACACTTTGACCACGTTTTTCTCCAAATCTGAAGATGATAGAAAATTTATACTTACGGATTCGCAATCAGTACAAAAATAGTCTATCAACAGCTTTAACATTTGCCGCACCAAAATTTGTTCCCCATTTTTGTTCGAATAATTTCAAGAGCCCTAGTATGTGTGTATATGCAAAAGTATTAAGCTACGCTGACGAAGTAGATATAACTGCTAGTTAGTTTATAAAATTTTATTTCAACATAGTATGTATGTATAAATGTTTGTAAAAGAAATTAAAATACATAAATTATAAACGAGGCGCCAACCTCATACATATTTCCAAAATCAAAATGTACCATATGCACGGTGGCCGCCGAACAAGTAGGGACGCGGCATTTTGATTATTTTTCTTTTGCTTAATTAATGTTTATTATTTTTTTATAAAAGTATAGCTCACTATCTAACAAAAACTATTTAAGTAAATCTTAAAACTTTTTTTTAACATTTATAAAAATTTACTAAACTTTCAAACTTTTTATTCAAAAGGTAACAAATTCTAGGTATGCAGTTTTGTAGAATATTAAATTTTCGTGCAAGTTTGAGGTATCTAGGTCCTACCGTTGATTTTTGGCATTTTTGTTTTTTTTTTTTGCTGACGGTGTTGCACATTTTCTCCGTAAAATATTAGCCATTCGCTGAATAAATAAACCAGAATTATAAAAAAAAATATGGAGCATGCTTTGTATGGAAGAAAATGAACGAACAAAGAATTCCTAAAAATTAACGGTAAGTCCTTGCACTTATTACACTACAAAATGGTAACCAAAAAAAAAAAAAAAATCTGATAAAAATATTTGAAATTTTGATGGAACTTTGTGGAATTTTCCTAATTTTTGTACAAAGTTCAGACTTAGATGATGTTTTTTTTATATAGCAAGATATATATACTTTCATTAAAAAAAAATAATAAAGATTAAATAAACAAAATAAAAACTTGTTAAAATGTTGCGTCCCTATATATTTTTCAGACATGTGCATATTAGGGATGTTGCGAATGTAGAGTTTCAGACATCCGCGGATGCGAATGCGGATGCAGATGTTTAAAAGCTAAGATATGCGGATGCGAATGCGAATGCGGATGTCCTGTATTTTTAAGAAATAATTTAGATGGATAAATTAGGTGATTTCGGTAAATAAAAAATGGAAAGGTTAATAACTTTTAATAATCTGCCTTATCCTGAATTTTGCCCGAAAAAAAATTCTCCCGAAAATTTGTATTCCGCCCATAGTAAATAGTACATGAAAACCAAAAGTGAAAAGTGAACCGGATCGGGGAAAATTAAACTCATGATAAGACTGAATGTTTTTTAGTACTTAAATTTAAAAAATGGAACATTGTACTTAATAAAAACTTTTTAAACGTCATCAGCGTTTTTCGATTTTAGTTTTTGTAACTCATTTTTAATGCTTTCTTCTGTGACTGGTTAGATATACGTCTGAGCACTTACACAATATTCCAGGGACCGAAAATAACAGTTATTTTTTTCCGAGTTAAATTTGACCTAATATTTTTTATTCCGAAATAAACGTCCTATCCGGATAATAAACAAACCGCTTATCCAAATTAAACAAGTTTGGTATCCAATGAAAGAGGACTGAAATAGCTTTTAAACAGAAATAACGAATGAAGGTTACCACCTCTATTTAAATTTTTTTATAACTTAATACTATAGAAATTCATATAAATACATACCTGACCCAGTGTTTGTTCTATGGTAATTAACATTTTTTATTGAAATATTTTTGAATGTGTGGCTTTCCTCGTTTTGACATTTCAGTTTTAAAGCTATTTCAGTCCTCTTTCATTGGATACCAAACTTGTTTAATTCGGATAAGCGGTTTGTTTATTATCCGGATAGGACGTTTATTTCGGAATAAACAAAGTTCAACTCGTAAAAAAATAACTGTAATTTTTGGTCCCTTCAATATTCGCATTCGCAAAAGATCCGCATTGATTTTTGCGAATGCGAATATTAAAATTAATGCCGAAGCTCCGCGGTTGCGAATGCCAATATTCGCAACAACCCTGGTACATATATATAACAGGCAAACACAGCTGATTTGCAGTTTGTCACTTTGGCGATTTGTGCTGTTTAGGGCACGAAGAAGAAAACATTCACGATTCAAAAGTGGGACGTCTTCGCTCTCTTTTACCAGCCCACAAATTCCCCAATGGGTTTTTTGGGGAATGATGCTGGAGTGACAGTCCTTGGGCAGATATAAATATGGGTCGTTCCCGTTACGTAGACCTGACTGTAGTCAACCAAAACGTTGTGTGTGTTATGTTATCTTTCAATTGTGTCACTAATTTCCACTTACCTTGGCAACTAGAAGACAAATAGTCTTCGACCAAAGTAAGGGTGCGCACAACCCGTCTTAAATAGTTACCAATAATTCTATAAAGGCGGATTCATCGTTTTGGTTCAGAACTTTTCTTCCATGTGGTTGTAGTTGCGTTTCGCTCAAGGACAATTTTAGTATAGCATCGCATCTAAGAGCCACCTAACGGAATATTTGAAAAAAGTTAATATCTGAAAAATTGCAGATATGGCCTTCTTTTCAATGGTAATATAACTTAAAATGGTATGAAAATAAAAACAAAGATGCTTTAATGGTTAAACGATATATTTCAATACGATAAGTACACTTCAATTCAAAAACTATTGTATTAAAGCATTTTTGAAAGAATGGAAAATACCCAAAATAGGCTAATAATATAATTAAGAGATGATTACAAGTTATGAAATAATATAAGCAAATATTTAATGCTTAACTCTGTTTTAATATTAACCATTATTTATTTATTTTGAATTTCTTTCTTAGTTCTTATACAATACTCTTATGGCCAATATTGGTTGGTAGCAAGTGCCTTTCTCGGCATTGGTATATTATATTTAAATATTTGTATGAATGAAAATAAAAGGTATACTTTCTGTACTCCTGAAATAAAATAATTCATATTTGCTGTGTAATATTTTAATCAAAGAAAAGTTACTTATCACAGCACTTTTATATTACTTTGGAATTACATGGTATGCATGTACATATGCACTACATGTAATTAGTATATGGATACATATTAATCGTTGCTTGGTTTGTAAATGAAGTAGAATCCAATCACTTTAATAAATTCATTTTAGTCTGTTATAGTTATTGAATAGGAGATCAACGTCAGTTCCGGATGGTCAAGTCTAACATCGCGAAACTCCTCCGTGAAAGTCAAAATATAAAAGCAGAAAATAGTAGACATAATCCATTCCGATATTGAGCTTATAACATGGAAATACCAGCCACCGTCCGAAGGGTACCTAGTAAAATAATATTATTACCTTTGTTTTTCGGAAACTTTTTTGTTATTCTTATTTTACCATTGTCTTGGATTTTCGCCTTTGAAAAGAATGTGTGACATGACACCAGTGACAGCAATCAAAATAAATAATATCGTGCAGCAAATGGACATTCCCAAACGAATGTGTGCATATAATTTCGTACTCGCAATCGGATACGCCATGTAGGTGATCAATGCTTGCAACCAAAAGTAAACTGTACCACTGCCAAAACAACAAAATGCACCCGTAAAATGCACGATCCGTACATTTGTTTCCTGAAAGTTTCCAACAATGCTTATACCCAAACAAGAAGCTAATCCGAACCAAAATGCAATCTTGTTGTACACCAATAGCAAAGAGCCCAAATCGGGATGATGGCTATAGAGTTGTTGAATTTGTCTATAACGTATGTAAATTGTGATGCCCACTGTAAAAAAGTGTTAAAATGAACAATTGGGAATTCGCATTAAAGCTACAAATATTTTCACTTACATAGTATGCTTCCCATATTTATGAGCTGGGCGAATACGCAACTCTCTGGAGAATATGTAGCAGCATCACTGATATATGGCACAGTGGGCACTACATGACCCTGTAGTACAGCAGCTATATAACTAAAAATATACCAAATAAATTTATGCAAGCATACATTGAAGAATACCACGATTTTAAGATAAGGGGGGATGCGTGCATAATTTCAGATATCTCATAATTTTTAACTTTTGACCTTGGCTTTTTTTAATTTAGGGAAATGCATCTATGTATGTATATATAAATATATTTACTAAAATGTGTATATAATGTTTGTGCTCCATATAATTAAAATACAAATAAAAAAATCAATGGAGTTAGTGCGTTTAGTGTTTTCTAAAAAAAAAAACAATCCATGCCCACGTAAAAGCATAGTACGCAATTGAATTCCTGCAAATTTACTTACGTGCCAAGAAATGTTATCTGAAAAAGCAGAAAAACTGCGACCGGTATAAGATATATAAATGACATTTTCAGGATTTTTTTAAACAACAACGATTACACTTAAACTAATCTGCTGTCTTGTTTATCATGAGCAGAAAAATAACACCAAGCTGTATTGCCTAGAACATATATGTATGTATATAAAATTTATCGAGTTGCCAAGAACAGTTGTAAAATTAATCGAGTTGCCAAATGTTAAATTCGTGTTCTAAAATAGTTCGCGTTACTACACTAGGGGTCTTCCCTTAAACTCGTAAATTTAAGAGGCTCATAAAAGAACTGGCAAAATTTGTATGGAGCTCTATTTACGAGCCCCTCATAAATTTACGAGGTAAATTTGATGCGCAAACAACCCCGTAAACTTCAGTGTTGCCGAGGCGCCGAAGTTTTATACTAAAATGTACGATAAAATAATGAAAATAAATAGTGGCATTCGCGCTTCTGTGTATTCGATGTATCCTACGTAAGTGTAACTGGACGAGCGTGTGGTTGCTGTTGCATGTGTATTTGATATACCGCTAGCAACAACAAATCACACGCTCATGCAGTTACGATTACACAACATACAACGAATACACATAAGAGCGCATTCCCCTAATGAAAATAATACGTGAATAAAATGAATGAATTTCATCCAGTAACCGTATTCACTTACGTCAGTTTTCAGACACGTCAAATCTTTGCTTTCAAGTTTGCTCGTTCCATGGCGAAGGAGGTGAGAATAGAAGGGAAGAATACAGATACCACCGTACCGTCAATTCGTATATAGTTTTCTTGTCTCTTTGGATCTTTTCGTTGCTTCCCATTTAAAGAACCAAGAACGTGAATAAAAGTTGACGCAAATAGAAAACACAAAAGAGAATACGAAAAAATTGCTTACAAAACTTGAACTGTCTGAAAGGGGACTTAGGTTTTCTGCTAATTTTCGGCATTTTTAACTGTATTTTAGCCAAGAGTGATAGATACAAGATGGCTGGACGTTCCCTCGACAGTCGGGTCAACGTAACCGGAACGACGTAGATTTATATCTGGCCAAGGACTGGCACTCCAGCAACACTCCCCAAAACTCTTTGGGGAACCTGTATGCTGCTACAACAACAAGAAGGCGGGATGTTATGGAAAATACTACGAAACAAAAACTGCTTCAATAAATCCTGGTTGATCTGTCAGTCACTTTACACACCTATTTACACCTTTTCACCTCGTAAACTTACAAGAGTTTTAGACGGTTTAAAACTTTACGAGATTAAGGGGATCCCCAAAATATTTTTGGTGTTGCATAGAAAATCAGTAGACTAACAAGAAAAATCTTATAAAAAAGGTAAATTCTTTTGGAATAAAAGCTTTCGAGAAAAACTATTTTATTGCGTGGTGTTATTCACTTTTTTAAATATCATAATTAATACTTTTGATAAATGATACAATTTTAGCGTCTCTCTCTTTTTGACAAGCATGTTCGAAATCCATTAGAATTTTCTGCATATTCAAAAAATCATTATTAATGATTTTGTGTGTTTGTTTTACACGAACAAGGAACTCATCAAATCTATTATCTCTGTAAACACGTTTTCCTAAAGCTATAACGAAAAAATTATTAAATATTTCTTTCAATTAAAAATTTCCAAATCACTTACCAACTGGCGGTTTTGGGGCATTGAATGTGTCCTGCTCTTTAGCTTTTGTATTGCTATTAATTAACGGAGGCGTAGGTGCTTGAACTACTTCTGGAGCTATTGGCGGTGGTAGTGGAAGTGATGAGGACGGCGCAGGTGGCGGAGACGGTGACGGTGACATTTCCTGATAGTTTGTTGGCTGAACCTCTCTGTCGACGAATTGTGCAATTGTAGAGCGAAATTTCTCGGGTATCAAGAGCAACCTTAAAAAGGGTAGTAACAATAATTAGAAGACAAAAACACTAAGGCGAATACTGCGAAGACATGAACAAATGTTTAAATTCGACAGCGGGAGAATAAGAAAACGTTCGATATATGACGAACGTTTACAGAAAACAAGCCCAAGAGCGTTCGATTACGATAATTTTCGGTAAGAACCTTCTAGAGTTGCCATGAGTCTGAAGACGAGACCGACGTGAGTACATAAAGGCGAAAAGTTGTTGTAACTTGTACGTTGGACGATCAAGAACTTCCTTGTGAGTGAAATACACTTGATGGTAAATCAAACAGCGGGTAATTTAGTCCGCCCGGTACTCTAGGATTTAGTTACAAATAGTCAGGTAAATGTTACTGGAGGAAGTATCTTTCCTTGATGAGTTTCGCTTGAGGCTTGAATAAGGATTTGATCCCACACATAGGCTATCTGCACACTTGTCGTCCAATCAAAGTTGCGTTATCGTCTCGCCCTGAAATTTTGAGCAGAGCACATGCATTTTGAAGGAGATCTGCACACTTGTCGTTATCGGCAAACCGTAGAAGATGCAGAAACGGATAAGTACGGCACTGTCGTTTGCTAATCGTTGTGCACGCATTGTTTGTTTACATTTTATGGGGGAAAATTAGTGAAAAAGTTAATATTTGCATTAAAATTGCATAAAAATTTTGTATTTTTTGCATAAAATCTGTGGAAATTATTAAAGTGTATAATTGCATTAAAATTCAATAAATGTCAGCGCTTTAACTATATGACGAAATTGTAGTCTCTGTGTGCATGCACAAAACACATTTCAGGAAAAGTAAAGAAGCAGCAGCACAGTCTATATTTTAAAATTGCAGGTTTTTGTAAATATTTCGCGAAAATAACAACCAGAAAAATATAAAATACCTGCTCCAAGTGAATTTTTAGACGCCAAATGAATTGAAATATCACGACCGAGTGTGCGAAAGTATCGTTGCATCATGATTGTGACGATGAAGCAACTATGATTGGACGAACAATGTGCAGACAGCCATAGCTGGTAGTTAGACCGCTACAAGGCGTCAGTCAAAAGTGACAAATTCTTGACTGACAAACTTGATCGAGAATGTGTACTAACCTTAACAGTACCAATATAGGAGTACTAAGGTATGGCAACACTGCACATAAAAGGTGCAATGTAAATAGCCACATTTCCTTAATCCTTTCGTGTGCAACATATATGTATATTTATATGAACTGTACCCACCTTTCGACATTGCCTCGTTTGTAGCACAAATAAGCAGACTTCATTTGGAACCACTTGCGCCGTATCTGCTGGGCGCTCTTGTTAGGAAATCCACGCCTCTTCATCTTAGTGGCTATCTGAACAAACGTGTAATTGGTTGTTGCTGTGTTTCTTTGCATTTTATGCACCTCGCGAAGCAAATCTAGCATACACTCAATTTCTCCGGAAGTCCAAAAATTCCGCCTTAACTTTAATCTTTCTACTTTCATTTTTCCCAACAACTTTTTGTTTTGCCAGTATGTAGAATTTTATTTATAGGAGTGCAAGGGATACATCGATGTTTCTGAAACATCGATAATATCGGTTCAATATTCGATATATTTACGATCGATTTTTACAATTTACTAACCGGCCGTCTTCACGTGCTGGCAAATCTCGCTCGCGTGACCACGCATGCGAGATCTTGCACGTGTAGACCGCAAAAAGTACGAAGCACACTTTTTCCGGCATCTCGCATGCTTTCAACTATAATTTTTGTTGTTTGAAAGTATTTTCTCATATCGCAGAATTCTTCAGAGTAAAAACATCCAGCCAGTCAACACAACTCTATTTCACATGCAAGAGAAAAAAGCTGAACCCGAGCGAGATTTTCAAGCATGTGAAAAAGGTCAATAACATCGCGGAATTGATGATACATCGCTGGCAGTTTTACCAATTTTTTAAACATCGCCTTTAAGGTGACTCCGACTTTCTTTCGGTATGTTTGACTAACCTTAAACGTTTTTTTTTGTTATTTATGGCCTTATAAGAATTATATTCAACAATTTTATTGAGTTTGAGGCACTTTCTTACGAAAAATGTTATTGAAAATCAACAATAATTTACAAAGGTAGAAGTTATAGCTACTGCAGCGCTTTCGAAGTGGCTCCCGAGATAGGTCGATCTTCCACTCAGGTGACGATATGCTCTTTCCGCTAATGTTCGTTCACGAGTTGCCGAATCTCTGTGTTGACATCCCTGATGCGTGGATTTCCGAGATCGGACTTACGAAGGTTGTCACGCTCATCGGCTAGGACCGCCGCTTCGGCAGGGGATTTCCGGACGGATATCCGTAATACATCCAACTGAAATGAAGCGGGCTGTAGCAGCAGTCACAACCCTGCAGAACTTATGCTCACCTACGTGAACGTCCGTTGGTGTGGGAAGGGCAGATAAGGGGCTTTCAGTAACTTCCAATCAGCTTTGTAAAAGTTGATTAAGGTTCGATGTTCCGCGGAAGCAAAGTCACCAGGTTTATCGATCGAGGTGATTATGGGCAGGTGGTCCGGTGAAAGCGTCAGCATAGGTCGCAACGTAATGCTGTTTGACTGACCGGCTCTTACAATTTTTATGTCTGGCGAACTACTGCAGCTGCCCATAATACTAGTGGGTGCGTCGGGTGCGTAATACTATTGTGTGATGAACGCTAGGTCACCACCGTTATCTCGCTCGCTAACTTCCAGAGTTGTGTTGCCTGCCGGCCGCCTGCTGTGTGTGCTGCGCTGTGGTGGTAGAGCGCGGCGTCGCATGGTGAGTATGCCACTGAGCAACACAGCAGGAGCCCACATAATCGCTCTTGCAATCTCGTGGGTTGCGCAGTCTTGAACATACCTTAAAGTGGCACAAGCCAATGCGACTAGGAGCTGTCGACGGTTGTGTGTTGGTCCACTGCCGGTGAGTTCCTGAGCCCGAGCACGTACGTAGGCGGCTCCAACCGTTGCACCTGACCAAGGTGGAGTTTGGGTGCAATCGCATCGGGCGTACGTAGCAGGTGTAGGTTTCTGGGCCTGAGTTTGACTCTATATGACCCATGAGCAGAAGAATGTGGAGCAGATTTTGTCCCACGCACGAACAACGTTTGAGATTTCGCCGATCTAAACAGGGTTAGATAACCGAAACAACAGCCCCTGGTCGGGTAAAACCCGAGTCATTCCGGTACGTCGAACCGGCTGTCGCGGGTACTAGGGTTCGCATAGGCCGCCATGCTATAAAGAAATTGCGTCAGGCAGCGCGATTAAAATTCCACTTCAAAGAGCTCCAGTAAACATGGAAAATCGAGAAATTACAGGGTATAAACAAGCAGTGGAATTCCATCTACCAATCACATCTTACCGTGAAGGAAAAAGCTGTGAGTGCGAAAAGCTTCAGATGCTAGGAGGTAGGAATGCGGCAGGAAAGTTTTATCTGAAAATAAGACAGCGATCACATGATTTCAAGATCGAGGCAGTTTCTGAAAACTAATAGCGCTAAGTAAAGTAAGGTTAAGTATAACTTTTAGCTCGGGAGCGGTAAGTACCGCTCCGTGCCAAAGGAGGCCTTGGAAAGATATTAGAAAGCTTAATGCGTGCTCCTTACCAAGAAATACGATTATAACAAATCCTGAAAAATGGGCGTGTCACCGCCCACTTGTATTTCGGTAACCGCTTTATCAATTTCTACCAAACTCGGTACGATTATTGTACTTCACACAAAAGAAGCAAGATGTTGAAAATATTCGAAATCAGACTAAAATTATGCCCACTTTTCATATAACGGTAAATTTTAGAAATACGGAAACTAGGGAAGTTTTGAAATTTAAGGACGCAAATTTACCCGAAGTTTATACACACAACAATCTCTTATACCAGGTTTATATATACATAAGTAGATTATCCTCATTTTCGAGCCTAACTCCTTAATCTGTAATTAGAAAAAGAGTTTAGCGATACAAAATTCGTCGCTCGTTAATCTGTTACTATAAAATAATCTCGGATTAAACCGATAACTTTTCGGTGTCCAACCTAGTTTTATCGATTATTTTTGAGAAAGAGGAGAAATGTCGAATGTAAAAGTTAACAAAAATGGACGCTAGCAAAGATAAAAAGTTTTGTAAAGGTATTATTAATAAAATATTAAGTTAAATCATATTTAAATTGCTTAAAGTAGCAGAAAAAAGTTATCACGGTGGCACAGAGAATAAACTTAACTTTTCCATTGCGAGCTTTGATAGAGATTATATTTATATGTCAATGTACTGTTACGACAGAAATAGGATTATTATGAATTTGAATTACTACACAAGTTTACCTCTGTTTTATTGTTTAAAAAAATATATATATATTCTTTTTTTATTTTAATTAAATTTTTAGAAACTTATTTCATCTTTTTACTTTTTTCTTTGGTTTTAATTTCATGTTTCTTTTAATGTTTAGTTTTTATTATTTTGAAAAGATTTTTTTCTAAGTTTAATTTTCATAATAGTTATTGCTTAAACTGGTTATTTATAAATAGGGCTCTCAATCTCATCCAAATGTTTTTATTGAACAGCTTCAAATGGAAATGGTTAAGTTATCTTTACGAATCATGAAATTTCCTTTAAAATGGAATTCGAACGTTAGAGCATATTTTTGCATATTTTGCAAAAAAAAACCTGTTTTTTTTATATTTATTGCGTATAGCTTAGTATATTTTACAATACATGCATATGGTTTTTCTTTTATTATTTTTGCTTTTTTTGTTTTACAACCATCTAAATTTTGTGCGAAATCTCTTGACATAAAAATTACCTTTAATTTTTTCCCAAATATTCATCTGAATATCTTCTCGAATAGCCAAGCGGCCATTAAGGCACACTCTTCTACCTCTGTTAGATCTCAATTAGTGAAGGACTGTAGGAGAGAGCTGGCCTATATCTCTGATCAATACGAAATTACCCTAATATGGGTACCGAGACATAGGGACATTGACGGAAACGAGGCAGCGGACGAACTAGTAAAGTGCGGCTCCGCACTGAATGTGTGCCACGCAAAAATTACCGAAATCTATCACTTGGAGGCCAAGCAGAGGTAGAACCGTGCAGCATCGTACGGGATTACCCGGCAGTACTCGGTGTCCTACGACCCACTTAAAACCAAAGCTCTCTTAAGAATGAGCCAAGAAGATACCTACAAACTTACTCTCGGCAAGCCATTCCTGCAGAATATTTTAGAGTGCAGCTGCCTCTCTCTGAATGACGTACTGAACTTCATTAAAGCCGCCAAATAGCTGTGGGTTGTAAGAATTGTGGAATAAAAATGGAAAATTTTCCAATCCACTTCAACCAACTAAACATCCATCTGAACCACTATTGAACACTAGGACAATTCACCAATTTACAAAAGATTGAAACTGTTTGCTTGATAATAAACTAATTTTATACATAAATATATGTATTGTATTTTGAAGTGAATTGTTCTCGTAATTTTCTTGTTAAAATCCATATGATATTTATTTTAGTACCGGCACACATAGTGGTCGGAGAAACCATGTTTTACGTGAAAAATTAGGAAGGCTGTTACGATTATAATAAAACTGCGGGATCGTGGTATTGTTGTAATGCTAGATCCGAATATGCCATACAATTTTAAGTTTGACAGTTGAGAGCTGCCAAATTAACTGCCAATTTCTCTAAAATTAAGAAAATCTTTTTGAAAACACCACTGATTACGTTTTTGACATGCTGAACACGAATTTCATGTCAAATTAAAACCCTGACAGTTGTCAGCTGTCAAATAGACTGTGAATCTTTCTAAAAATAAGATAATCTATTTAAAAATGCCTGATCTCGAGTTATGTATGACTGATCTCGAGTTATGTATCACATTCAACTTTTTCGGTTGGTTCAACTGTTATTTTAAGTTGAGTAATACAAAATGTTTGTTTAGCAAAATTTTATTTATTATATACGAGGAAACATATCAAATATTAATTTATGATCAAATAATGAAATAATAACAGTAATTATATTTATAAATTAGGGATAGTTGGGGCGGTCTGCTATATGGTCAGCCCAAAAAAATTTGATCTAGGCCCCAACAGTTTTTTTAAAGATGTTTTTATTTTATACGAAATTCGTCATTTCCACAACTTCAGTTTTCTTATTTTTAAATAAAGATCTTCAGGTATGAACTTTTGGAAATTTCAGACGCCATATTGGATTTTGAATTTTGGATTTGTTTGAAATTTGTAATGAGCGAACTTAAGAAAATTCAGTAATTTTTTAATTCTTGGACGCCATATTGGATTCGTCATTGGATTTTTTGAAAATTAACTTCAGCTTTGTTAAAACACATCTTATAAATGATATGATGCTAAATATAGAATAAATTACATACACTCTAAAAAGTGTTTGTTGAAATTTTCGCATATTAAGATAGGTAACCAGTTTCCTCTTTTAATGAATGCAAATTTACTTTTCATTTACAACCTTTAACTTTCATTCTTATTTTACTTTGGCCAGACAATTAACAATAAATCCGAAATGGTGTATTA